GACGAACGTTTTGAGCCTAATTAGTCCATGTTTGAACACTAATTGTCAAATAAAAACGAACGAGCTACATTAGCCCCAAATTCCAAATTCGTGGAACTAAACACGCGCTTAATAGCTGTGATGATTTATGATTATATACGTTGGATCAATCAATCAGTTTGTTTGTTAGTTAGGTAGTTAAATTATAGTATTCCGCCCGGCCGTGGTTTCAGCAGCATATGCTTGTGCCACTTTGTTATTCCCTCCGTCCTGATGATAAATTGATAATTTGGCATATACACAGTACGTATCGATCTATCTGTCTTTCTGCAAGCTGCTCCTAGTATGTAACGACCAGCTAATAAATAATACGTACAATATAATGATGCAATGCAACCGCCGTCGTCGTATTACGTCGTCGGTCAGCAGCCTCATGATCGATATATAAAAGAACCGCGCAAGAAGCCACGCGTAATCCGTTTCTTCTTCAGATCCATCCATGCAGCTGGAGCTTGCTAGTAGGTATCGGCCGGAGTACTCACAAGGCAGCAGCAAGGCCCAGGCAGCACCAGCAGCTGGCGGTTGATGGATGGATGGCGTCATGGCGACAAGCTGCATGCCGCCGCGCCGGTGCCATCGTCAGCAGTCAACAGGTAGTCATCCACCGTACTCTAGCGTGCATTCTGCATGCCATGCTGCCCCCCTGGATGCGCATCGCCAGACGAATTGATGCTGCAGCTAGCTAGCTAGCGCTCCGACGATCCAGCCTCCATTCAGACGAATTGATGCTGCTGCGTGCTCCATCTGATGCATGGCTCATTTTTCGCCTTGCCCTTCGTTCATTTTCCATTGCATGCTGCTGCTGTTCGTTCGGGCCGGCTGGCCGCGCCGGAATCCGCCGTTGACTAGACTAGGGTCTAGGCAGGGGCGGCCGGCGCCGATGGATGGATGGCGTCATGGCGACAAGCTGCATGCCGCCGCGCCGGTGCCGGTCAGCAGTCAACAGGTAGTCATCTAGCTAGCTAGCTGCTTGCTTTCTCTACATATACGTAATTAGGTGGGGTTTAAATCTAGGTGCTAAGGTTTTGGGTTGTCACATCGGGATATCACATGAGAGTGTTTGGATTGGGCCTGTTCGGCTGATATTAAAGCCAACTGATAAGCCGGCTGAAGCTGTTTTGTTGTGAGAGAAAAATACTGTAGATTCTAGCTGATAAGTTCAAGCGATCAGGCCCAAATAAAACAAATTACACAAGTCCTCAGTAATTACTGAGACGAATTTATTAAGCATAATTAATCCATCATTAGCACATGTTTACTGTAAGAACCACATTGTCAAATCATGGACTAATTAGGCTTATAAAATTCATCTTGCAAATTAGTCGCAATCTGTATAATTAATTATTTTTTAATATATATTTAATACTTCATACATGTGTCAAACATCCGATGTTCTATGGACTAAACTTTAGGGAACTATTATGGCTATATAATATCCATCTACCCGGTCTCCGGGCGCTCTGGCCTGCCGTTGCATTGCATGCCGCCTTGACCGTCAACTTCGTATGCCGCGTCGACGACTCGACGTAGTCAGGGTCAGCATGGAGCTGATGCGGCCAAACAATTAGCCGTTGCAAGCAGGAGAGGGGACTCTGACCCGGCCTGCTGCCCGGGTCGTCGTCGTCGTCGTCGGGATCTGGTCGGTGCGCATGGCAGGCCGCCGCAACTGTTTTGGGCCGCCGGACCAGTACTTTGAACCTTGGCCCATCAAACAAAGCACCATTGCATTGCATTGCATCTTGCAGCGACACGAAACAATGGGTCGCATCGCCAACTTGAACAGCCAGCGCGTGTACAAGGAAGCGGGCTGCGTCCGTTTGGGCCGGCCGGCGGCGTGCGGCGAGCGCGACTGACGGTGGGCCAGCACGTGTCCCCGTAGGGAGGAAGGTAGGGTGGCCTCACAAGAGTGAGGCCCGCTGACCGGTGGGCGGCGTGGCGGGTACCTGTGACTGTGAGCCGTTTAGTTGCCGACTTTGTTTGATCACATTTGTTGCTATTTTTTTTTTCAAATCACATTACAAAGCTAGACACTCTATACGCACACTCGTCCTATAAATATAGACGCACACACTCTACTCTAGAGGTATCTCTGAAAAACTGATCCAAAATATATATCCAAGCATGCGTAGTGCTTCAAGTCGAACGCTTAAACTTAATAAAGTTTCATCATAGAAAATTATCCAACTAAGCTACACTCGGTTTACATGTTTTTTTTTTCTTACTCGCTTTACATGTTATTGACCCTTCATTTCTCGTCTTGCCTCGTTTTACACGGACAGGGACAAGGGAAACACGCTGATATTACTGAGGCGCTCGTCGTAGCTGGATGTCGTTTTGTTACCGCTGTTTACCCATTATATTGGATTCGATCGGCGTCAACACAAGCTAATAGTTAAGCGTGTGCAGTAGAAACAAAAAGGCAAGGCAGGCGTACTACCCACGTAGCGCGTGCGTGTGTAATAGATCGAGCGTGCGTATTTTATCCCACGAAAAACTAAATTAATTTACCAATAATTAGCAAAAAAATTATATGTAAGTTCTTTTTGCATGAAATTGAATTAAAAGTTTTGATGTTGATTTGTTTAGCAAATATGATTTAAAATATAATTTGTATGTGTGTAATACACTTATCCTTTTTTTTGCCATGTTCGCTTCTCTTATAATCTGTCTTTTTCAGCTTGTTTTTTTAGCCGGAACAGTGTTTTGTCTTATTTTTTCAGCGAAGTGAACGGGGCCATAGATGCATTTCCACTGCTAATATCCTCTAGATTTTTGCTTAAACATCCTCCAAATTTGTGAGATTTTGCAAGTGCTTTCCCAATACAACTCTAGTACTCTACACAAATATAGTACCCTGCATGTCTCCAAAAAAAGATTCATAAGGTATCTTGGTTTGTAGTTTCTAAGATTGATCTAATCTAAACGATATGTTCTTGCAACAGGATGGGAGCATTCACATATTTCGTATACCCTCACTTGATGTCAAGATTCGAGTAAAAATCACACTTGGTTCAAGAAAAGTAATGTTCCACTCAAGAGGAAAAATAAATGTTTTCCTGATCCGTTTCTGTGAATATAGGGTCTGTTTGGATCACGGGACTAATGCTTCGTTCGTAATCAGATAATAGGCTAAACGTGGACTAATTAAAAATTTGTTTTTTCTAATGAGTCCTACTCATTAATTAGCCTCTATTAGTTTTATTAGACCATGATTAGTTCATGTTTAGTCCTTCTACTTAATTAACATCCAAAACATGGACTAAAGTATAGTCTAGTCTATCCAAACACACCATAATATTGACATGATCGGAGGGGAGCACACTGCACGGTACAGTTTTGAGAGTATATAGCTAAGTGGGTTCAGATCTATACGCATTTAAAAATATACTAAAATCTGATTTATACGTGGCGCCAAGTCGTCCATGAGGAAGGTACATTGGACTCTCATGATAGTTTAGGAAGGTCAATTTCTTTATAAAAAGGTGTAGAAATATATTTTTTTTCAAAAAATATCCAAATTTTTTTCTAGAATAATATGCATTTCAAAATAATAAATTTGATTTAATATTAAAAATCATAGAAAATTGCCTTCATAATAATAAGTCAGATTTTAGTATTTTTAAATGCATATTTATTAAAAATATTTGGATAATTTTTTGAAAAATATTTCTATAATTTTTTATATATTTTATTGACCTCCCTGAAGTATCACGGAAGTCCTATTTGCCTACCTCGTGGCTGATGTGGCGCCACGTTAGCCAAAACCATTCTCAAAATCGCTTAGGGAGTAAATAAAATGATTTAATAGTTGGAGGAGTCTAAGAAACCAATTTTCTAATTGAGGATGTAAAACGGACTTATACAAAAATTGAAATAGGTAAAATGGACGTTGCACGTGCCTGTCTGTTCGGCAAGGCTCCAACGCGCTAAGGACTTATTTGGATGTAGTCGGATTCACATCAATCCACATGTGTTGGGGTGGATTGGAGTGGAACTTAAAGTAAATTACACCCGAATCCACCCCAACACGTGTAGATTAAGGTGAATCCGATAATATCTAAAAAGGCCTGAGGATGGAGAAGAGAACAGGAGGCAATTTGGTTGCAGAGTCACTGCGTTAGTAAAGTGCAGTCAGTCATTTTTTGCTTAGCAAAGTACCAAGGTCCTGATATCTAATTATCCTTGGAAATTGGATTCCGTAGTGCCAATATTTGTGGTCGACAGAGTTGCTTTCGAACCTGGAGGAACACTGTTCAATTGTTTTCCAGAATTCAGAGATATACAGTGAAATTCTGCAGGCAGTTGCTACATCCAACGATACGTTTAGCTGCTATGCACCAACTAGTAGTCTGCTGCATAGCAACAACACATTATACTTGACTTCATATAGTGGGGCCCTTCCATGTACTTTTTTAGCACAATTGGCCCCGTTCGCTTCACCGAAAAAACAAGCCAAAACACTGTTCCGACTGATTTGTTGTAAGAGAAAAATACTGTTCTGGTTGAAAAAACAAGCTGAAAAAGACGGATTATAAGAGAAGCGAACATGGCCAATCCCATTGGAATTTGAACTTGGGCATATGAGGTAAGAAAAAAGAAATAGTGGGGCCCTTCCATGTAGTAAATCTATAAGAAACAAATGAGGTCAGCTAATATAGGAGCTGAAGAATAACACATACGTACATTTCAAGTAAAGAAAAAGAGGAAAATTGAGAACTGTACATATAGGGACCAAAATGATTAAAATCAATATTGTATCATGCATCTACACTTTCGACTATAAAGTCTGAAGAGTTTTGATGTATTTTACACTATTCTTGTAGTATCAGCTCGCTCTGAGAGTCTCGTGTTCCCTGCGAAAACATCAAGTTTTGTTAGAACAATATGGCAGACAAGAGCAATATGTTGAGACACAGATTTCTGAATTTTCCCTACCTTTTCGAAACTACAGCTTAATTGCATCATAAGCTCTGGTTCCAGCTATAGCGCCCAGCGGCGTTGCTACCATGTAGATCCAAATCTGGGTGTAACGACTGCCTTGCCAGTACAAGCGTGCGTGCAGGATTCATTGATGCTCCTGTTGATAGTCTGCTCATACACATTAAACAAGCAAAGTTAGAGTATATTTTTGTTAAATTTCAAGTACACAAGAAATCTCCTAACTTAATGGAAAGTAGTTCTGAACAATTCAGTATGCACATACCCTGCGACAAGAGCATTTAACATTATTCTTGCCCCAACTACAACTGCTATCAACTCTTTCACCTGAAGATTTATGGGAAGATCATTATTATCTTTATATCTTCATACAATGGGAAGAAGGGAAAACAGGATTGAAAGGTCGAAAGCGACATACATCTTACTGCATGGGAAATCAGTGGCGAGAGGGTGATGATGAACAGAAGCACAAATGTCGTGATGAACTCAAGGAAGAAAGCTTCAGTTGTGCCAACCTTTGGTATGGTGGCGATCCCAGGGTTCACCGGATGATAGATACCCTTGACAGTGAAGGAGGCAACAATGGAGCCCAGAATTTGTGCAGCCACGTAAGGCGCGATGTGAGCAAGTGGGAGGTGGCCAAATACAGCCATGGCAGTGTTGACTGCCAGGTTCAGGTGGTAGCCGGATACGTGGATGAGGGACAGCACAAGAACAGTGACAGCTAAACCTGCAGAGGTTGCAATGCCGACCAACCTGCAGAGGTTGCAATGCCGACCAGGCTCTCGACGCCATGCTGTTTATTCATGATGATGGTGGACAACACAGTGAAGATCAGTATGAATGTGCCTAGGAATTCCGCTCTCACCTGCAATGCAATGACCACTCTTTCAGGTCAACATTTCATGTCTAGAAAACTCAATGGCAAATTTCAGCCAATTAAACTGAACTGTGAAGGTTTTATAACTTTACCTTCTTGATGAGAGGAACTGCATTGATCTTTGGCAAGCCTTGATTCCATCGGTGATGATGAGTTGCATGAGCAACAGAGGATTCAGCAGGATCAGCATGTCGTCGTGAGCTTATGCTGTCGGCATGGATCAGCTGAAATGGCATAATCTTGGAGGTTGCAGCCCTTGGGGAGATGACGAGGGCAGCTCCAACAATTGGCTTTTAAGCTAGCTCTAAGCATTTTTCTCATATTTTAATAGAAGAGAGAGAAAAACTAGCTCTTAATCAAGAGCTAAGCTCTTGCATATATTTCAAAGTTATGCGAGTGTCATTTACGGCTATCCATGTTAAAAGTTATGTGCTAAAGTTAGCATCATTAGAGAAGTTGGCTTAGAGCTAGTAACTAGATCTAACCATTGCGGGTGCCCTGATGGAAATCTTGTTGCTCTCGCTTGTCTGCATGGGAGGGACTGCAACTGCAGCCACATCACCCATGCTGCACTTTTTTTGTTCCATGCCATTCCCCTCGATGGTAAGCAACTAGCCAACTAGACCTCACTGAGTAATGGATCAAAATTCATAGTGATGCTCTTAACCCTGCCTCTTTTATCTTTGTAGGACCAAAGGAATTCTGTTGTTTGATGCTTGGGTATGATGTGTAGCTGTTCATAATGGAATATTCAGACAACTGCTCAGTTATCCTCTTGTGTTAGCTATTCATATTGGTAACACATTCTATTCTGAGATTTATTTTAGTTCGAAGTATTTCTATTGGACGAGATGATCATGATGTTATTTGGATACAGGAGTAGAGGGATGACTCAGCAAAAACCATTTCTTAAAACAGGCAGTTGGAGGGCATGAACAACTTGTGTGCAAAATTGAGATGGAGGCGTTGACCTTGTCATTCCTGCCTTCATTTGAAAACCAGGGCAGCGCTGATCTAGCACATATTTCTGCCACTGCAAATCTGGACTAGTATATGCAGGCAAAAACACATGTCATGGGAGAATGCGAGAACCGAGACAATTCAAATGACAATGAAACTGCAACTTGTACACACAGGACCTAGTTTCCTATTAATTGTTTAATATTACTATTGATCAGCCAATTAAATAATAATATTATTAATTACTTCAAATATGTCAATGAGAAATAGTAGAGGTCATGTACTTTCATGTGGCGTAGAGTGTCGAAGACATTTGGTAGTTGAACAAGTTGACTTGAAGCTCAAAGATTGACAAGCAGCGCTCACCACGCACGCCATGCACTGGCAGCAGGGCACGCCACACGCCGACGATGCTCTGGCCTCAGCATGGCGTGCCTCTCGGTCGCCCCGACCATTGCCTCGTGCCATACGCCGTCCTGCCTCACTTGCCAAGCCGCTGACCTGCCGTCTCCATGCCCTGCCCAACATCTCACGTCTGATGCAGTGATGCCGCGCCGTGCTGTTGCCCTCGCGACGCCCGTGTCGTGCCAACGCTGCGAGCCCTACCGCCTGCCCCTCCTCTCTGTTCCTCGCCTCGTCCTGGCGCCCTCTGCCCAGTCCTGTCGCGCTGGCATGCGCCCTGTCCTGGCCGTGCACGAGCACGACCGCGCCTCTCTGCCTCGGCTAGGCGACGTCATGGCCGAGCCCGTGAACCCCTGCAAGCTGTGCGTGCACCTATGACTATGAAAGCAGCGTTTGTCCGGTGTCAGCCATGACCGAGACCCATGCTCGCCTATGAAATTCGTCCACCACCAGCTACCTTAGTACCATCTTTCAATTCCTCGCACAAGAATCTCCCCGTTTTTCTCTCGAACAGACCCATTCTTTTTTCTCTCGAACAGACCCATTTTGGCCCGTTTTTACACAAGAGTCTCCACCTGCGCCGCCCTGATCCCGATATTTGAGTGCTGAAATTTATGGTCGATGCAACGACCTAGACTAGTCAATGCATTGCAAGGTGACTGAATGACGAACTTGCTAACTACCGACCAACCATGGCCACTTGCCTGAAGCCTATACGTAGTGAATGAGTCGGTGGAAGGAGCAGTAACGCAAGGCTGGCGACTTGCCTCCCGCATCGTAACATCGCCCGCGGCAATTCCGCATCCTAACATCGCGCGCGGCAATTTAAGCTGGGCCGACTGTTAGTCTAGGAACTAAGCTAAGGCACGCACAATCACTTTGGGCATCTTTAGTTTCCTTGTTCACGCGCACGCGCGTTATACTTGCCTTGCCTGGCCTTGGCAATGCTATCCTTTCTAGCCCGGGAGAGCCAAACTGGCAACGGTCTAAACAACACGAGTCAAAAGCTTAGCAAAGAACTGAGATAACTTGCACAAGAATTGAGATAGCTAGCAAAGAATCTAAACAACATGCATATATATTACTATCAGAATACTCAAAGGTCTCATAAATCCTCACCAATCGAAGAAGTCTCAGACAGGGGCGGAGCACCAACATGCCACCTTGTGTCCACCACATATACCTTTTACTACTTGTTTTTCTTTCAGATTCTATTTTGCTGCTTGTAGAAAAGGTCTCTAGATTATCAAAACAAAACCACAGTAGGCCTAGTCAATAGTGCACACGGCATAAAGCGTCTCTCCAGGACCTCTAACTACGGCCGTTGGCATATGGAATTGTGGCATGCTTTGATCCGCCACACCACAAGTTCTCAAGTTTAATCCGTCCTCCACTACTGGTCTCAGAATATCATCCCAAAGATATATCAAAAGCTTAGCAGAAGACAATCACAGACTAATCCCAAACATAAAATCTCGAATCTCATATACCCGAAGACAATCACATACAGTATCAGAAGCCAATGCCATAGAACCCCCACCCTTCATCACTCCAGGCTATCTGAGAACTCGAACTCAAACTGGATCTTTCCACAGCTCGCCTCCCACCTACTTATCTTCCAGGCAGGATAAGGACGACCAGATGAGCGTCGGGGCGACTGGGGGCTCCCCGTCCCCGACCTAGACTGGGGGCTCCCTGTTCCAGACCTCCTGCGCCTGGACGTAGACGGCTCCCTACTGGCAACCAAAATTTAAAACACCAAACTTGAACATAACCTAATGGACTTAAGTAATTAAGTGATATGTCACTGCAGTCTACACATAAGTGAAGCTAATTCTACCGAAATTCAAAACACCAAACCTGAACATATCATCATGTTTCTAATAAAGAAAACTCCACATCACAATTAACCAAAGCACCACTTTATCTGGCTCACTCTACAGAAAACATTTCTGCACATGCAAGTTACAGCAGAAAACATTTCAGGGCTATGGAAAACAGCAGGCAAGTTACATTTTACTATTGTCGGTATGACACCATGAACTACTCAAAATCATGGTGATCTTCGATAATGAAGGTCAGGGAAAGCAGCAAGCAAAAATGCTGATCTTGCAACCTAACATAAGAGAGAGTGGAAGTGGAGAGAAAAAGAGAGAGCCAAATGCATGAGAGCTAGAGTCCTCCTCCACCCACTCTCCCCTTTTATAGGGAAGGTGGGAGGGGAGGTTTTCATTCTTTCCCCTGGTGGAGCTTGTATTTTACAAAAGAGCCTCTAAGGGCTATTAATATGCCCTAAACATTATCTTACAAGCCCCAAGCTATGTAATTGGGCCTTGGAAAACCTAATAGGAGTCCCTAACATATAATACACCCCAATAATAGGCCCTTAGGTATTCATTTTTTATCGAAAGCGCAAGGCCCAATAGCTGAATACAACTAAGTGTGGTCCAATTACAACTCAATCCCAACACGCAGCTCTCGTCTATACAGAGAAAGTCTATGGATGATTTCATCTTTAGCTAGTCATTGGTGTCAACCTTTGCTTTTGAGCCTCTGTGACCTTGTCTTTAGCAACTTGCTCTTTCGTATGGCCTTGAGCCCTTGATACCTTCTTTTCATAATTGAGCCTTTGCTAAAGACATTGACATAGTCGAAGTAGGCGAAGTAGTTGACATAGGCGAGGTAGTTGTAGATGATCATGACACGTCTTCAAGCTTTCACTCACGGGCGCCAGTCAAAGCTTTTGTCTTCGGGCGGATTGCTTGTCCAATGTGCTCCTCGCCAGCCCCTCTTGGCTGACACTTGTGAGAAATTCTTTCGCGTGCTTGAAGTAAACGATGTAGGCATGGTTGATGTCACAGATGTTGTAGATGGAGATCCCCCACTCCAATTGATGGTGAAGGCAAAGTTGAAGATGCTGATGGCAATCCCTCTGCTCTAAAATGTTGGCGAAGGTGAAGTCAAAGATGTTGATGGTTATCCCCCTGGCAGAAATGTTGATGAAAGTGTAGCCAATGATGTCAATGTTGGAGTCAAAGCCCCTTGCTGAGACGTTAGCAAACACACATTGCCGATGAAGCTAAAGTCAAAGGTGAAACCTCTCACTGAAATTTTGATGAAGGCATTGTTGATGATGCCAAAGTTGTTGGCGAAGCCCCTCACCAAAATGTCGGTGAAAGCGGTGTTGTTGATTACCAAAGTCAATGGCAAAGCCTCTCGCAGATATGTTGGCGAAGGCATAGTTGATGACACTAAAGTAGATAGTTGAAAGGTCCCAATAGCTAGAGGGGGGGGGTTGAATAGCCTATTAAAAATTTTCTACAACAACACTTAGCAAACCGGTTAGACAATTATGAAGCGAAGCAAGTGTTGCGCTAGCCTACTAAAATTGCAAGCCACCTACCATAATTTTAGTTTATATAGTTTCTATCCACACAATAGGTATGCCACTACACTAAGTTAGTGTGCTCTCAAATGCTAACTAAAGAGTCATACTAACCAAACTAACAAGCTCTCACAACTAGCTACACTAAAGAGCTTGACAACTAGTTTGTGGTATTGTAAAGAGAGAGAGCAAGATAGTTATACCGCCGTGTCGAGGAGTGAACCAATCAATCACAAGAATGAATATCAATGAAGACCAATCACCTCGGAATCAAATGATGACACAATGATTTTTTACCAAGGTTCACTTGCTTGTCGGTAAGCTAGTCCTCGTTGTGGTGATTCACTCACTTGGAGGTTCACGCGCTAATTGGCATCACACGCCAAACCCTCAATAGGGTGCTGCACAACCAACACAAGATGAGGATCACACAAGCCACAAGCAATTCACTAGAGTACCTTTTGGCTCTTCGTCGGGGAAAGGTCAAGA